CTCTCCTTCCTTCCCCTTCCCTGTTCTCCTTCCTTCCCCCTTCCTTCCTTCTTTCCTTCCTTTCCTAAACCTAAACTAACCTTCCTTATTTTATTTTATTTTTTATTTATTTGATTTGATTGGTCAATCGCTTACAAGATAATAGGTATAAGTATAAACATGAGTAAGAATACAGGAAATAGGTAGGAATAAATGGGGACAATAGGACAGGGACGGGAGGCACGATTGTGCGCTTATGCACGCCCCTTACAGACCTCTTAGGAATGGGGTGAGGTCAATAGTGGTTAGTTTGAGGTTAAAGTAGTGGGGGTTAGGTTGACCCCCTCTCTTCTTTGGGGCAGCCCCTCAAATACTGGAAAACTGCCAGTAAATACCAAAAGAATTCCGGCAGAAAGGAATGGGGGGCTGGAGGTGGCTCCCCTAACCCTCCCCTCCCTTGCCCAATTCCCTTCCTTTCTTCCCCAGGATGGACTCTACAGGAGGGTGCAAGCCGGCGTGGACTGGTTCAGTGGCAGCCTTGGCATTCCACCAGAAAGGAAGTACAACAGTGTCTTGTTTGGAGGTAGGAAATTCCCTTTATTGCAGGGCGGTGCCCCTGTTGGGCATCCAGTCTGGAGGAAAACCTCTGCCTGGCATTTGAGGGACTTGGAGAGAGGCCCCCTGGCCAGATTGGTAGTCAACCCTGCCCTCCCCCCGCCCTCTCTGGTGTCCCAAGAGCTGGTGAGGCTGCAGGGCACAGAGGGAAAAACCCAATGTCAGGATTCTGGCAGTTACTCCAATTAAATCGTGAGTCTTGAGCCACACTCCCAAAACTAAAACGGATTTATTAGAAGTTAACATTCTGGCATTAGCCTGGGCATAGACGACTCAGATACGTAATTCACTGTCACCCTTGATCCTGCTTTCCCCACCCCCCACCCCTCTGGGTGTATCATCCAACGAAACACGTCCATAGCCAAGAGTCATCGATCATGTTCTCCAATTAGATTTTTGCGCAGTAGAAGCTTCAGTCATCCAATCAGTCTTTGAAGAAAACATGAACAGAATGCACTTTCGATTCCACATCGCCACCTACTCTTTGAACCCCCCCCCCCCCCCACTTCTTTCTGTTTTCAAGTATAAAACGTGTATACAAAATGTTTTAGGAGTTGACACTCAACAGCATGGAATAGGACAATTCGCCACCACCAACTCGCTGCGGGACAACTCAACACTCCGATTTCATTATTTAAAACGATTACAACCTCGGCACTGTTTAAGACTGGTGGACTTCAATTCCCAGAATTCCCCCAGCAAATTTTTCCCAAATTTTTTGGAATTCTGGGAGTTGGAAGTCCACCGGTCTTAAACGTTGCCAAGGTTGGACAACCCCTGCTTTAAACCCATTACTTAGTGGTGGGGAAACAATGAGGTAAACTAAGTTGGGGTCAGTAGGCAGAAGTTGGCCTGCAACCAACGGAGCATCTCCACCTCTGATCTTCTCTTCCAGGTTTCATCGGCTCCCTGTTTTCTCTGCTTCAGTTTCTGGCCTCACCACTCACCGGAGCTGCCTCGGATTCCTTCGGGAGGCGACCGGCCCTGCTGGTCACTGCGGTATGTTGGTTTCAGCTGGAGAGGAGGCAATAGCCATAGCCCTTAGACTTATATACCGCTTTATAGCCCTCTCTAAGTGGTTTACAGAGTCAGCCTCTTGCCCCCAACAATCTGGGTCCTCATTTGACCCACCTCGGAAGGATGGAAAGCGGAGTTGACCTTGAGCCGGTCAGGATCGAACTGCTGGCAGTTGGCAGAGTTAGTCCTGCAATACTAACCACTGCAGCATCACAGAAGGAGGAAAGAAGAGAGGGAGGGAGAGAGGGAAAAAGGAAAGTTAAAGGGGTGGGAAGGAGGGAGGGAGGAAGATTAAAGAGAAGGAAGGGAGGGAGGGATATTAAAAGGTAGGTAGGAAGGAAAGAAGGAAGGAAGGAAGACAGATTGAGTCAAACTTGAGCTGGTCAGGATTGAACTGCTGGCAGCCAGCAGAATTAGCCTGCAATACTGCATTCTAATCACAGGGAGGGAGGGAGGGAGGAAAGAGGGAAGGGAAGGGAAGGGAAGGGAAGGGAAGGGAAGGAAGGAAGGAAGGAAGGAAGGAAGGAAGAATGAGTCAACCTTGAGCTGGTCAGGATCAAACTGCTGACAGTCGGCAGAGTTAGCCTGCAATGCTGCATTCTAAGTACTGCGCCAACAAGGTAGGAAGAAAGGAAGGAAATGGAAAAGGAAGGAAAAGGAAGGAAGGGAGTAGCAATAGAGTTATACAGCCCTCTCTAAGCGGTTTGCAAAGTCAGCCTCTTGCCCCCCTCCCCAACAATCTGGGTCCTCATTTGACCGACATCGGAAGGACAGAAGGCTAAGTCCACCTTGAGCCGGTCAGGATTGAACTACTGGCAATGGGCAGAGTTAGCCCTTCAATCCTGCCTTCTAACCACGGCAAGGATTCCCTGTACGTATTGGAGCCGTTTTCCTCCTAGGGGAAGAAACCAAGGAGCCGCTCCCAACATCAGCATAACTCTTGTCTGAGGAGGCCAAAATCTCTCTCTCCCTCTCCCCCCCCCCCCCACTTGCAGCTCGGCCTGGTGGCCTCCTATTCTCTCTGGGCCATTTCTGGGAGTTTCGAGCTCTTCCTTTGCTCCAGGATCCTTGGCGGGGTCAGTAAAGGGAACGTCAGCCTTTGCACGGCCGTCATAGCGGACCTGCCGTGCCCGAAAGCTCGGAGCAAAGGCATGGTGAGTCCTTCTTCTTTCTAAGAGAATCTCAAGAGCTGCAAGGGACCTCGGAGGTCTTCTAGTCCAACCCCCCCCCCTCCCGCTCAGGCAGGAAATACACCATTTCAGAAACAAAGCGTCCTTCTCCGATGCAGTTGCTAGCTTAGTAGGGATGACGGCTTAGCCTCTCAACCATCTTATCGGTAGTCCTCGACGTATGATCACAATTCAACCCCAAAGTTTCTGTTCCTAAGCGAGCCCTCGGTTAAAGGGAGTTTCACCCCGTTGTACGATTGTTCTGGCTGCCATTGTTGAGGGGGTCGCTGCTGTTGTTAAGTCAGTAACCACTGTCATTAAGTGAGTCTGGCTTCCTCCCCCCCTCCCCCCTCGACTGCTTGGCAGAAGGTCTCCAAAAGGCCTCACATGATTTCCTCCCCCCCACCGTCATAAAGAGGAGTTGGTTGCAAAAGGGTCTGAATTTTGATAGCTGACCCTACAGATGCCGCAAGGGTCATTTAAGTGGGAGGAACGGTTGTACGTCCCTTGTTTCGGTACCGTTGTTAACTTTGAACGGTCGCTAAATGGACTGTCGTAAGTCGAGGACTGCCTGCATATAACCACCCATTCTTGTTTTCCCACTCGGAGCAACTAACCGTACATTAAAATCAGGGTTGGGATTCAACCAGTGTTACAACTGGTTCAGTTGACTACGTTTTGCTGCGCATGCATGTCTTGCTGCGCACGCGTGTAAAAAAAACCATCAGCTGTGCCACCCGGACAGCTGAAAAGTACTGCGCGCAGGTGCGCAGCGTTTGAAATGCCTCTTTTTTCGCTACTTTTTCAACCTCGGCTGTGCCGCGCAAAGCAGCTGAGGTTGAAAAAGCAGGAAATAAAACGACAGGTAAGAGCCCGGGGTGGGCAGGTGGACCACACAGCATCAAACACAGAATCGGCGAATTTGATCCTAGTTAGAGGCAGATATTTCTCTCTTTGGGCACAATGAGAATGTATCCGCAGAACAAAACTCCGCATTGGCAACAGGAAAGGCATCCGGCCATTAAAACACTGTGCTAAATCCAGCCCCGATTCCACCCCGCAAGGGATTATTAAAAGGGGTCATTAAAAGAGGATGATGATATTGTTAAGTGAATCACTGCAGTTCTGGTTTCCTTGTCTTGGGTCTAGTTGTTTCGGCCTGCAGTGACCCGTAACGCCACCTTGAGGGAAGAAGTTGAAACAGTTTGTATTCAGGATTTAGTGCATTATTAATAATTATCACATAATTAATATAATTAAAATACAGCATTAATTATATAGCACCCGTATTATATTAATAATTAATGCAATGTAATTATAACAATTATAATTAATTATATATTGCATTAATTATATTAATATAACTATTACATAATCATTAATAATTATTTAGTGCATGATTAATAATTCTCTGAATCAGTGTGAGGCAGCTTGCTGAACGTGACAGAAAGAAAGGAAAATGCACCCACATTTTTAAAAAAAACATTTTTTGTGTTCCTGAAAATATTTATGAACACCGGGGCCCATTCAGGAGAAACCACGGGAGGGGATTATGGTCAGGGTTTCTTGCTCTGGAAGCTTGTTTAAAAGAGGCATGTTAGCCAAAAGGACATTTGCTGACTCCTCCCTCCAGGCCATGATTGGGCTGGCTTTCTCCCTGGGCTTCACCCTCGGGCCAATGCTGGGCGCCTTCCTTGCTCTGGAGACGGAGAAGGACCAAGTCTTCTACACAAGAGCCGCCATCTTTGCCACCATCTTTGCTGTGGCTGATTTCCTGTTCATCCTCACCTGCTTGCCAGAGACGCTCCCAAAGGAAAAACGGGTAATATGTTTTCTGAAATGAGTGTGTGTGTGTGTGTGTGTGTGTGTGTGTGTATGTATATGTATATGTTATATGTATATGTATATGTATATAGTGTGTGTGTGTGTATGTATTTTGACCCAAACCCTTTTCCAATAAAACAAACATGAACCAACGGGAACAGAAACCTTTTAATGATTCTTACGAATCCCCGGTTAAAAGGCTGCTGCAAACTAATTAACTTTGATAAGCACGAGCCTCGCCAAAACTGTGCAAGGCTGCCAAGAATAACAGATTACCTAGAAATATTTTACAACACAAGAGTCTTCCAATACCAACTAAGATACTGCAATGTCCATGAGGCTGAGTTTCAGAACGTCTTTGCTTCCTGCAAAGAATGTTCGCTTCACAGCTGGCTTTTTATCTTCTTGAAGGAGGGGCCATTATTTTGCAGCCTTACTCCCGAGTCACCTGTGCTGCGGCTGCAGCTGCTCTTTCCTGCGAGCAGCCCTGCGTGCATGCACACTTGGCACAGGCTCCTCGGGAACCTCCTCATCGCTGCTGCCAGCCCCAACAATCTCTGGAGGCAGCAGTCCACTTCCTGATGGTCCTGGCCCCTCATCTGAGTCCTCGCTCTCCTCAGCCATCCGCACCTGCTGCCGGCTAACCACAACAGTGTGTGTGTGTGTGTGTGTGTGTGTGTGTGTGTGTGTTCCAGCATAACTCTAGGGTGGGGATGGGGGGATGGAGCTGCCCTACTTCTTACCTTTGGACAGTTGTAGCCAGGCCTTGCACACCCCGACACCTGCCTTGCCAGCCCATTTCTTCTGCAGCCAGCAAGGCTTTCCTGAAGGCCTCTGCAGCCGATAACAGAGCTCTGGATCGATCCTGACCTTTGTTACCAGCTCCAGAGGCCTTCAGGGAAGCCTTGCCAGCCTTGCCGTCTGCAAAAGAAATGGGCTGGCAAGGCAGGTGTTGAGGTGTGAGAGACCTGGCTACACCTGTCCAAAGGTAAGTAGTAGGGCAGCTCCATCCCCCCCATCCCCACCCTGGCTTAATTTTTATCCGTGCACTCTGGAGTGGGAGGGATCTTAATTAGGGCTTATTTTGGGGGTAGGGCTTATATTGGGCGCAAGTTTAAAAAATCAAGCTAGGACTTACTTTTGGGATAGGTCCTATTTTCAGGGAAACGAGGTATTTAGAAGACATAGATAAGGACATCTGAAATTGCGGGTACCGGGTTGCTGGGGTAACCATCAGCTGTGTGTAGGATACGCAGCCTGTGTGTGGAAGCGTGCGGGAGGGTGGTGGAAATGCCCTCCGGCACCCTTACTGTGTCTTTTTTCTGCCTTGGGCAGGTGTCCTCCGTGGTATCTGGCTTTCAGTCGGCCTTCGACCTGATCAGTCCCTGGGCCTTGTTCCGGTTCTCTGCAGTGCGGCAGAAGATGGGAGGACCTTCGAGAGACGGCAAGTCCTTTTCCGTTTTCTGTCCTGGGGTTGCCTGACGATGGGGCTGTCAAAACTCCCATTTCATTGAGGGTTGTGTTTGAACTCAGGGGGCCAGGGTGGGCGTGGCCAGGGTGGGCGTGGCCAGCTCAATGTCACTCATGTTGGGGGGCACCAGTGGAGGCCCAAGCACACAGCCAGCGAAAACAGGCTCCCAAGCTCCGTTTCTGACTGCGACGGCGTCCTGCAACCCTCTGTCAGTGAAAACGGAGCTTGGGAGGGCCACACATGGCCCTCCCAAATTCAATTTTTGCTGGCATACGGCACTGCGAGCCAGTCCTTTGCTGGTTCCAGGGTGGCCTCATGGCTCAGATCAAAGCACCCCACAGCCTTGAGTTTGACACCCCTGCCTTATGACAATGACTCTTTTTTTAAAAAAAAATCTAGAATATAATGGAATGGGGAATATGGAATTATTTGGAATGGAATATAGCAGTGGTGTCTAACCTTTTGGGGCTCCTGTGCTGATAATTGCGTGCACGCTTGCCCGCTTGTCCTCATGTGCCATCACCCAGGAGGCAATGCGCAGGGGGTCCCCCCCATGCCTCCTGCGCATGCGTGCACAACCTGCGCAATCTGCACTGTGCGCTTCTGCACATGCATGTTTCCTGCGCACCACTGCGCCCCTGCACATGCGCGCTACATACCCGACAATCAGCTAGCGGGCGGTGCGCACGCATGCGTAGTTGGCCTTTTCTGGGCGAGTGCTCACGTGCTGTCAGTAATGCCACGCCTGCAATAGTTTCGCCACCACGGCTCTAACCATTCATACCCTTTATGCCAAATTGAGCAGCATTTGGAGTTCTCCTTCTCTCTCGTTTCTAATGTAAGCATGTCCATTTCCGCACATTCTAATATTTTGTGTAGGACTAAGTCCTCTGTGCTGGGTCTGTCTTTAACCTGGTTTGCAAAACAATAATAATTCGGAAAGACTGGTTGACTCCAAGTGTCAGCATTCCTGACCCTCACCTCACAATTTCCCACCTGACGCCAATTCCAACCCATAAGTTTGCGAAGGAAAGAGGTTTTGTTGATGTTTACCCATCAGCCTTGGTGGTTTTATTCCTCCCGCAGGTCTCCAGGTCCTGGGCTTGGTGTACTTCCTGTACCTCTTCCTGTTCTCTGGCCTGGAGTACACGCTGGGTTTTCTTGTCCATCAGCACTTCCACTTCAGCAGGTATTTATCCAGCCTGCAAAGACGGGGGTCCTCTTAGCAGGCAAAAAACAGCTTTTGGCTTTTTCCTGCCAAAGACTTCCCCAGTGACACTCTGGGGAAACCAGCAGAGAAGAGGCCAAGAGGCATGATTGCAACCAGCCGTTAAGTGCAGAGGTGACATTTCAGCCAGTTTGGATTGGTTCTGGCCTACCAGTCGTGGAAATTTTGACTAGTTCGGAGAACTGACAAATACCACCTCTGTTTGGCCCCGCCCACCTGCCCCCGCCATTACCTCCTATATTTCCTTGTTTATTAGCCCAGCTGAATCACATGCCGTGCCTCAGCTGAGCTAAAAAACAATTCAACTTACAGATCTGTCAACTCTGACAGAGCCTTCCGCATGCACGCAAAGCGCATGTTAGGCGCGCGCACATAGAACCGGTAGGAAATAATTTGGAAACCCCCACCCCCGGTTGAGCGCAAAGAGACTGCCAAACACAACGGATAACAATCGCATCACTGGCTTGCAAGCGTTTTGCGACGGTTCCTTTTGCAAGTCATTAAAGCACCACGTCTGGGGCGGTTATAACTTCAGCCGGTCATTAAGCGAGGACTACCTCTATCACTTTTGTGCTTCCTGAAGCAGGGTGACCTTTCTGGGACTCCATCCAGCTGTGTCCATCCTGCTACGACCACCCTTTGTGTTTTCAACTTATTTCTTTTGTGTTTCCTTGTCTTTAGCCTGGACCAAGGCAAGATGTTTTTCTTCATCGGGGTCACTATGGCGGTGATCCAGGGAGGCTACACCCGCCGGATTACGCCAGGAGCGGAACTGCGGATGGTTAAAATTGTGAGTGTCCTTTGAGCCCTTCTGATTCCGCTGTGTTCCGACGATGCTCAAAAATGACATCTTTTTAATTCTTTGATGCTAAGTTTTGTGTTCCCTGCCGAGCACACTGTTCACACGGAAACACACAGACACCACCCGAAAGAGCACAAAACCATTTCTCAGCCGGTCCTTGAGTATTGAAGATTTGTCCTGAAATGAATACAAACGCCAGCTCCTTTTGGAGTGCAATGGTGGCTTATTCATTAGATCAGCAAACAACGAATACTCCTCTCTGACAATAAATGGCTAAAAGCCAGGCAAGGTTTGAGTAGCGTTGGGTTTGAGTTTGCTCCTTTGTTTTATTACCATTATTGTGAGACACACCGCACCACACCCAGGCAGTTCTAGTTCTGGCCACACCTAACCCATTATCCCTAATGCTGTTAACCCTATAACATGTCTACATCCCTAACCTATTCCGACCCTCAATAACTGACCCCCCACCTGGTGCCACCTTCACCATGTTTAATCTAAGGCTTACTTATCACCTATAG